ACCCCAAAAAAAAATATATTAAACCCTTGTATGCAGTACCAAATAGTATTAAAATGAAAATTTATATGCAAGAAAATATCAAAGAAATTGTTTTTGGTGGAATAAACAAATCTACTGAAATCTCTTTCACTAAGTGTATTTTCTTGCTTACGCCAATCACGAGCTGCTGATGTACAGGTAAACTGTCGCGCTACAAAATAGCAAGCACATGTAGCAAATTGCGTCTACACAGCATCAAGATAAACATCTGGCAATTACTTCAAAAATCCGACCTCATTTGCCGCCATGTAGCAAATTCCCCTAGATGCACAAATGCTTTGCAGTGCGGCAGTGACATCAATGGTCATGCAAAATAGTTGTGACAACAAGAAACAATTTTAGCTCCTCCGCAACCGACTCCAACAGTTATGTATCTTATTTGACCATTTCACAAAGTCTAGCTCGGCCAGGATTAAGTAGTGATTCCGACATCACCCAGCCCTGCAAGAATGTAAAATGATCACTAACCTGCATAATAAATAAAAGAAGCAGCCTCCTGCAAGTATGTGATAATCAAACTGGTAAGGAAGACAAACAACGAAACCACCATTGCCAGGCCCACTGTGTTAATTCCATTAATATTCTGCAATGTGAATATTAAAACGTTTCACCCCAAAAAGATAATCACAATCCAACGGGGTTAAATTGTTGGTAGCCAACAGACCTCACCCTTCTGAAAAGAGGGAATTGATCATGAGTTGGACAGTGTACAGTTTTTCCACTAATTCCTTCGTGTAAAATAACTCCTTACGACCTCTTTGAATTAATCCAGCCAGCTGAACAAATACAGCTAGCAGCACCATTTGAAGGAGTTCAAGCCTTCAAGGTAATGAAAAACAGAATGGACGGGCAAGGAGATTATAAGAAAAACACTACAACTATGATTTTATTTGTAATTGCATTTAATGCTGAATGGCACTCACATCTTATAAGTTGGAATTACCCACTACGAATTATGGAGGCAATTCATAGATATAACCAATTACAAGAGAATCCATTTTAAATCCTTTTACAAGGCTAGATCATGTGTCACACACTGCATGTAGTCTTAAAAATAATCAGGGATCTTCCACTTCCACAAAAAGAGTAATTCAAAGGGAACCGAGGCTAAGAGATTGCTACAAGTCCTAATTATCTGGATTCTAGAATGAGAAGCATTTTAACAGAAGTCATAAAGGTTATGAGTATTAAAATTTCAGGGGGCAAGCGATAAAAGTGAAACAGAGCTCATGAATCCATGTCAGGGCCTTCCAGAGGAAAGCACGTTTGCATGGTGCCTTGGCAATCACATATCTAGGACCATAGCAATGACACAAGCAATAAGAAAAAAATAGCAGCCCAACGTTCTTTCTCTAAGATTTCTCCTTTCACTGTAAGATATTGTTGCATTTTCAGAGTAGCAACAAGCAGATGGCTGATCGAAAACGAAAAATACATGATGAACATGCCAGTGTAAAAAATAGCAATCCGTTAATTGAAACCAAGGCACACTTGAAGAGAAATAAGGTATATCATATGTCCCTGTACTTTAACCAACTGTATGTCTGTTCCAGTTAGCTAGTCATGATGGAGGGAAGTTGATTTATGGTCCCAGCCCCTATACTTTTCAAGACACTAACAACTTCAGACAAGGCAAAACATTGCCATCTAGCTTCTTAAGAAAAACGTTCACTTGCAGCAATACCAAAGAAACAAATCCTAATTGTCAGTCGTGATGAATATGATTGTAAAACCATAACCATGATTGTAATAGGGTAGGGGTAAGGTCTGCGTACACACTACCCTCCCCAAACCCCACTTATGGGATTAAACTGGGTTTGTTGTTGTTGTTGTTGTTGTATTCGGGGGAGGTGGAGGTGGAGGAGCAGGAATTACAGGGATGAGATTGAAGACTTAAAAATTCTGGTCTCTTTCATTTTAGCCTTCCTGATACTTCCTCATCTTTGCACGTGATTTTTTTTTTTCCAACTGTAATATGTGATTATAGGTAATGACAAACAGAGGCTCACTTGCTCTCAGACTGTAACATATCATCTCTATGTTTTAGCTTGTTTAAAATTTAGAAAGAAAAATGATCTATCAGAAATAGTATCATTAAGTGGCAAATTTCTCTTCACCTGTTCTTTAGCTTTGCTCTTGAAAGGCATATATAAAGCAGAGACCATCTTATAAGATTCTATAACATGAGCTTGAAGATCAGCAGTTGATAACAAGGATACTGAAAGTTCATCTTCCCGCTGTTTCCTGGAGGAGGACTGTTTGTCGGTGGATGAACGAATGATGTGCAGAAGCACATGGCCCTGTATTTTAAAGTTAATTAGGTAAATGTAAGTTACTAAGAGTTTCACGTTCATCAGTTGGATAAGTCAGATGTCTTACATGAAATGCTGCTTTCAGTACATCATCAGACTTAGCTTGATCCTTGAGCAACACATATATATTTCCCTTAAAAGGATTGTATGACACTATATATTGCTCCTTCTGTTAACCAAGATCAACATGCAAGTCACAAGCATGAATCAGATAAAATAGAAGAAGAAACACTTAGCAACATAACAAGAAAGCAAGGGGATGTAAGTGTGCTATGTGCAGGAGAGCTCCCCTTGACATTCATCCTCCCTTGATAACATACCTCAAAGATGGGCTTGACAGCAAGATATGAGTTTGGATCTTGGAAAGCTTCTCTAAATCTTGGTCCTGCAAGCAGTTAGTTAAAATCTGCAATGGATACGTCTGATGATGTTATGTTCAGATGACAAAGGAAACAAAGTGTATTTTCCTTGTAATTACCAAGAACAATAGGTCTGTGCTTTTTCCATGGAAAACTGAATATGTTTTCCCTTGAATTTCCATCCTGCAGTGTTGGAACTCTCCCTGAAAAGCAAGTAGCACGATAAGACATCAACTCGGACAACAACAACAAACCCAGTGTAATCCCGCAAGTGAGGTCCGGGGAAAAGGCATCAACTCGAAGAAAAAGATTAATGACTGCTAACTTATCTTACCTTTCCTGCTTCGCTTCACTCATACTAAGTGTTTCTTAACTTCGGATAATTCCAAATAACTCTATGGGAAACTAAAATCGGAAACAGCCTCTCTACTCCTCCGGAGTAGGGGTAAGGTCTGCATACACACTACCCTCCCCATACCCCACTTGTGGGATTGTGGGATTTCACTGGGCTGTTGTTGTTGTTGTTGTCTATGGGAAACTAAAATGGAGAAGAAAAGGTAAAAGAGGACAAAAAGCACATAACTTTGCTACATTTGAGTCAAAGAAAATGTTGGCATGTCCTAGTTTTACCACAAATTTGTAAGTTGAACCATTCAGTTGTGCTGACAGTCAGTTAACAGCAAACAAAAATCATGGTACGAAAGAGACTCAATCATAACAGAAAAAGAGGGAAGGAGGAAGAGGGAAAGGCTATTCCTAACCTGTCCTTAGGAAAGATTCTACTGCTACTGTAAATCTTGCACGGTTCAGGGTATGCAACACAACAGATTTCACCTAATATATACAAAAGCAATAAGAGACGTCAGTCAAATGGGAAAAAGAACAAGGAAAGAAATCAGACTAGTACGTTAAGAAGTGCAGTGAACTAGAAATTAATGCACATTACTTAACCTCTTGATAAGAGCTGAAGACATATCCAAATGAGAGGAGGGCAAATGTCTTGACCAAAGATGGATTCCTTTTGGCAATCATGATACTTAATCCTGTCCCAAGCTTCATAAGAAAAAACTAACATAAGTTATTCCAGCTCAAATACATTAGAAGTCAGATACATGGCAGAAACCACTAAACAAATAAATATAAACTCCTTGTCAAGTAGGAAATAAGCCCCTTCAATTCCCCTGAAAGAAAAAAGGAAACTTTTTAAGGATCGTCAAACTTGTTGCCTTTGTAATATTCTTTTGCTTCTTTAGTAGTTTTCTGCTTTTCTGCTCATAATTCTTGTTTCATTCTTGTAGATTCTTTTTCTTTCTTCCCCTTTTTATTATAGAGAACTCTTATATATTCTTTTTCTTTCTTCCCCTTTTTATTATAGAGAACTCTTATATATTCTTTTTCTTTCTTCCCCTTTTTATTATAGAGAACTCTTATATATTCTTTTTCTTTCTTCCCCTTTTTATTATAGAGAACTCTTATATATTTTCATTATCATTAACTGATATGCTGCGAAGAGGAGTGCACCTTATGAACCATAGACCTGAAATGAAAAGACAGTAAAATTTGCGTTTCAATGTGAACAATATTTTAGCTTCTGAATTGTGAATAATCAAGGCCCAGACGATGAGATTTTATTGAACACATGGATTGAGAAAGAAGTCTAAAACTTATTTTTGATATCTGAAGATAGCAACTCATGTTCTCATCTTACAATCAATAATTCCAGTACTTTTACATCAGTTACTCAATGGTTTCAAACAGTTTTACCACCTCATTAGACTAAACTCCTAACTTAATGATAAAAATTGATCTTAGAGAAAACTCCTAACTTAATGATAAAATTGATCTTAGAGAAATTAGAACAACAACAACAACAACAACAACAATCACCACCCAGTATAATCCCACAAGTGGGGTCTGGAGAGGGTAGGATGTACGTAGCCTTACCCCTACCCTGGAAGGGCAGAGAGACTATTTCCGATAGACCCTCGGCTAAAGAAGGTGAAAGAAGCCCTGATAGCAAGTAATAGCAAGACAAATAATTAGAAAACTAAATCGAAGATAGCAACAGAGAATATGAAAGAGGTACCGATAACAAGTAATAGCAAGACAATATATTTAGAAAACTAAGTCCAAGGCAGCAAACGAGAATATGAACGAAGTACTGCTAGTAAACTACGGAATTACCGATGGCAAGTAATAACGGAACAAGACATGCGAATATAGCAAACTAAGGAAAAAGGGTACCGTACTAGCACTAATACTATCGAACTAGAGAAGACAAAGGGAAACGTACGACTACCTACTAACCTTCTACCCTAATCTTCAACCTCCACACCCTTCTATCTAGGGTCATGTCCTCGGTTAGCTCAAGTTGCGCCATGCCCCGTCTGATCACCTCTCCCCAAGACCTCTTTGGCCTACCTCTACCCCTCCTCTCACCTCCCAAGGCCAACCTCTCACATCTCCTGACTGAGGCATCTGTGCTTCTCCTCTTAACATGCCCGAACCATCTCAACCTCGCCTCACGCATCTTTGCCTCCACACGGGCCACTCCCACCTTGTCCCGAATAACTTCATTCCTAATTCTATCCAACCTAGTATGCCCACACATCCATCTCAACATCCTCATTTCCGCTACTTTCATCTGCTGGACATGGGAGTTTTTGACTAGCCAACACCTTAGAAAAATTAGAAAAGTTATTAAAATACCCATTCCAAAAGGTACTCCCCCTTGAAGATGTGCAGTCAATTTACAACAAGAATTAAAAGCTAAGTTACTCGGACTCGGCAATTTGGGCACCGTACCCGTGTCGACACGACACTGACATGGATAAGGGTGTGGAATCTGTGTCGGATCCGGTCAGACGAGATCGGGTGTGTTGACCAAAATTTTAAGGAAAATTTCCGTAAGTAAAGGAAGTGGTACAAATCTCTTTATATTTTTTATTGTACTATCCCATGAAAAGTGGCTTTCTTGTCAAAAAAGTGGGGTACATAGGAACTTTCTTGTCAAAAAAAGTGGGGTAGTGAACTTTATTGTCTAAAAAGTGGGGTATAGAGACCTTTCTTGACAGCAAAATACATCCTTCCTATCTTTTCTCTACCTACTTTCCCTCCAACAGACCAAGAAAATGGACAAAGAAGCCATTCTCTCTCTCTCTGCTTCATCTCGACTTTCTCGACTTTCTGTGACCAAAGCCAAAAAAATCAATTTTTTTTCTTCATCCAATTTATAGCTATATTTCTAGATTTTTAATTTGTTTTTCGCCGAATCCCCGCACCCGTACCTGTACCTAGATCCATATCCTCGAATCCTAAAATTTAGATCATGAAGGATCCGACCTTTGGATCCGTACCCGTGTCGGATACCCGTACCCGAGTCCGAGTAACTTAGATTAAAAGTGTCACTTTTACAAATAAGCAAGTGAACAGCTCCAGCGAAATTCTTCTTTTGAAAATGGTAACATTAGCTCCAGCGAAATTCTTTGAAACAATATGAAGATACAAGTATACAACATAACAGCAGATCACAAAGTCGGTTGCAGCTTCCCTATAATGTAAAACTTAACTGCCATCATAGAATATGGCCTTTGTTTCAGTTTCTATTCCACCAAAACCCTCATAAGGGAAAGAATTGAGTGAAAAGTTAGTGAGCAAATGAGTAGTTAGGCAACACCATCACTTTAAGAAACCTGCAACAACTACCATAAAGTACAGTGACTTCTTCTTCTGCCACTTTTCCCTTTCAAAAGATGGAAATAATAGCCTTCTTGTGGAAATGGCATTTAAGACAATAATGCAATCTATAATATATGACACTACCATGGCCAGACCAGGATAATTGTTTTTTTGAGAAGTGGTCTCAAGAGGCCATGCAATTGAAATCAGAATTCTGCATACTTCCAAATTCAGAATACTTGTTAAGATCAAATCAATATCTTCATCACCAGAAAAAGAGAAGAAGGAAAGAAAGATTAGAAATGCATACCAAATCAGCAAGATTGCCAACGCATTCACCCTTAGCAGTTACATCCCCAATGTTTTCCCCTTTAGCGAAGGCCTTATATATAGGAGTACGAGTTGAGGTAGAAGTGACAGCACCTACATTCTGTAAGCAATTCAAAATAAATCTTGAGTTCTTAGCTAAATGTATGTGCATGCAACAGGAATAAATATGGAAAAGAGGAAGGCGACAAACCTTGGCGACATTCGCAGCACAGGCTAAAGGAAGAAAAAACTGCGGCACAACAGCAGTTACCAGTTCAACACCAGCTCCCAACTCCATTAGAAGATCACCCGCGAACCTTAGCTGATGGGCATCATAAGGAAACAAGAATTGTAAGGAAAAATGAACTAGGACAATAATAATCACAAGTTGAAACCATTAATTAGATTTCAATCCTTACCCATACCACAGCCCAAACCAAGAAACAAATATAAACAACAGAAAAACGCAAAACAAACAAAAAGAAAATTAGAGAGGAGGGAACAATGGAGAATACCTGTTTTAGATCATAATCAAATTTCTTTCCCTGTCGTGCATAAAGCATCTTCCCTACGCGGCCAGCACCATCCTGCAAATTGCATATACCTTCCAGTTTGTACTCATGGAACATGAAAGGAGTGAGCTCTCAGAATATCATAAAATACACAGCAGTTCTCAGATGAGCACATATCTGACATTGGTTAATTCAAGGCTGAGAGAATTAGAAACAGTCTTAAACTTAAGATCTTGAACATTCTGAACTTCTCTAGATATGTGAAGACCTCCCCCNTTTGGTTCAGGTTATAAAGAAAATAATTCCACATGATTGAATGGGTGTTCCCGCTTCTCAGTCAGAAAGAATTAAAGAAACATCTGTTTTTTGGATGACACAAATTTGGATATTGTTTTCTCATATGGTTACTCAGGGCAGAGCGAAGAGGGGACACATTTATTTATATTAGGTATGCAACACTCTCCGTCAAGTGCAGGCCTGATTCTTTTTAAGGTCAAGCACGTGAAAGTATTTTTGTAGATGGGTAATGATAAGACTCGAACCCAAGACCTTTGCCTGCTCATGTAACATTGTCGAATTGTGTGAACCAACTCATCTAAAAGCTCAAGCTCAAGAGCGAAAACATTTGTTTGTTTATTTATTTTTTATTTTTATATTTTTTGATGAAAAGGTAAAAGAGGGGTACACATTTGTTTATTTTCAGTCTGCAACCAAAATAATGCATGTTACTACTTACTAGGACCTTTAGGAAGATATTGGACTTCGTTAGCATGTAAATAGCTTCAAATACACATATATCTGATATGCAAACTGAAATGCCGAGCCAACAACCTAATCTCACAAAACCTATTCTAATTTTTGTACAATCATTCATTTCCACATTCTTATATCAAGTCCCAACTTTAGGTAAAATGTCAAGAAAAAGCATGTAGCTAAGAGTTTTTTTGTATCAGGTACTTGCTGAAACAATGATGAAGACTCTATCTGTACCTTGAGAATCCAGTTAATGGCTACGGCACCAGGGGTAGCTCTATGCTTGGAAACTCCTACTGAATTTAAGAGTGTTTGTGTCGTGAAAACACCCATTGCACCACCAAAAAAGTGCTACAAGTGGCAAAAACGAGGTATTTGTTAATAACCACAGCAGCATGTTACAAAACATTAGCCAAAAATGGCACCCAAGACAGAGCATTTATTTTGTAGTTGTATACCTTCAGTGCCCTCCATGTCATGTATGGTACATAAGAAGGTGTAACGCTACCAGGAAAACCTTCTGGAACCACGTAGGATCTTATGAACCCCATGAACTCCTGCACCACATATACGATAGGAACATAGAAAAATACATTCTTAATAAAAAAAAAATCTTATCTATTAAGATTCATGCACAATGTCTTGCTCACACAATAACAAAAAATTGTAACCATAAAAGTTGGTGCACAATGTCTTACTCACACAGCGATCTTACAACATACTAACATGCATTCCTCATAGACACATAATTTAGTAGCTTAAAGGAAGTCATAAAGCAGGAGACAGTATTCTCTCAATTCACATTACAGAAAAGCTTTAACACTTTGCTGAAAATACACCTCTAATGTTGGAATTTCAGAATCCTAGACTTAGAACTTTAACAAAATGCTCAAGATACAATTTAGAGAATTATATTTCTTCTATAGGAATTTTCTTTTTAGCGCACTCACTGGGTTTCGACTTGATTTCTTAGGTCATGAGGAAGTTCTTCAACTTTTTTCTCTGTCCAGTTGAATTCTTCTAGATAAGAGTATATTCTTCACCAGAAAATTGAAACTAATAGTAACTTATGCAGTAAATGCCAACAAATCCATATAACAGCAATGTAGAAAACAAAATAAAAAATCGCCATAACATTTTAGTTTCACAAGCATACAAATTAAAAAGTATTTAAAAAGAAATTCAAGAGCAAGCAAAAGCGACAAACCTCGACAGGAGCTTGAGGAGACTGCAAACTAACAGCACGAATTGCGTTCCTCTTTAACTGCTGAGAGCCACAATTGACACTCTCGTCAGCGAAATACTTCCATCGGCGACCGTCGATCTCCTCACAGCAGAGCAATCTCAAGCTCGAATCAACAAATTGCCGATCATGAAGCCCAAAGCTCGCCACTTCCGGCCGCCGCTCAACGGCGACGGACGGCGACGGAGGAGCGGAGGCGAGGTCGGCACTAATCCGGAGAGTTTCACGGACAAGCAACGTAGCGTCGTGAGACGAGGCCGTTGAAGTTAGGGTTTGAGAACTGGAGCTAGGAGGATGTTTCAGCTTCATTGCGGTATTGAAGAATCAGAGCATGAGAAAGAGGGGATTTTATGGAGGAAATTTTTGGAGCTTTGGAAATGTCGTTGTGAATGAGTACGAATGGAGGTAACGGACGTTAAGAGGAAAGCAGGTGGGGCCCTGTTGTTTGGGGGGGGG